TACATTTAAGTTATGAAGCGTTTGCCAGAATTAGAATAAATTAAGCAGAGAATTTAAGGCCAAGTAAGCCCCGGGCTCCTCTCATCATTGCTTCTAGGTCATGTGTTCCGGGTTTGGCCATTCTTGTCCAGCACCTGGGGAGAGATCTGAGTGTAGCTGGAGGACAGGTCTAGCTGGGGCTCTGGAGAAGCAGAAGTAAACACTCAGGAGACTGGGGATGGGCGCGTGGCAGTGAGCACCTGGGCAGGCTCAGGGGGACACCGAGGTCCCTCTGTGTTTGGGAGCAGGGCCTGTTAGGTCACCTCCAGCCGGGCAGCAGACCATGGGGAGGGTGCAGTGTGCACCCCTGTGGAGCGGGAGGCCAGGCTTGCCCACCACACCGAGTTGCCAGCCCAGCACTCATGCAGGGACACCAGGTAACTCACTGCTGGCTGTGCCCAAAGCACGCCCAGGGCCGGCACGGAGCCCCGCCCGTGTGTCCCTGTTCCATCTCTCATCTGCACCTCTGATGGACGCTGTGCCCTTTCCCTGTCCCTGTCATAGTCTCTGATGGCCAGAGCTATGCTGTCACATCTCTGGAGCCCACAGCCCTGCACCCACAAGCACTGGCAGGATACTGGCCTCCTTGGCTCTGGGCACTAGACAACCCCGTTTCCAGCAAGCCCGGTCAGGGCTGACAGTATCCTGGGCAGCAGGGGCCAGGGTCATGAGGCCCTTGGCACTGCCTTCTTCTCTGAGGGCAAATCTTTGTCAAGCTGCAGGTCAGGAGACCAGGGGCTCCTGCCGTGGCTCCCACAGGGTCTTGTGCAGTAGGTCCAGGCTGTGGGCAGCCAGGCTGGAGGCTGGGAGGGCATCTCAGCCTCCTGGGCACACACAGCATCCAGACACTTGACCCACATGACTCACCATCATCTGCACAGTGGCTCTCTGGGGACGTCACCACCCACCCACTTCCCAGAGGAGAAAGTGACTTCCCCGCCTCCTGGCCAGCAAAGAAAGGAGATGGACGCTGCCAGGCTGGCCATTTGGGAGCCAGGCCTTCTTCTGTAGCGACCCCGTGTGTGGCAGGGAGAGGGCATGCTCAGAGGGGCTTCAGGTGTGTCTGGTGTGTCAGGGCCCAGCCGCCTCCCAGGCCTTGCATGCTGGGAATCTTGGGCTCGAGGAAGGAAGGGTATTAGTTCCCTGATGCTCCGTGACCCTGCGCTGGAAGGTGGAGAGTGCATGTCTTGGTCACTTTCCCACGGTGGGACAAAGTACCAGACACTCAAAATTGATTGAAGGGGGACAGGCTTTGGCTCATGGTTTCAGTGGGTTTCATCCATGGCTGCCACTCCAAGGAAGAAATGGTGGTGGAAGGGTGAGGTGGGGTGGTGGAAGGGTGTGGCCAGAACTGCTCCCTGCCTGCAGCCAGAATCAGGAAGCAGAGGGGAGAGGTGCCGAGAATGAGCCCTAATGAGAACACACCCTTCCCGTCCCCACCCAGTGACCACCTCCAGCACCTCCAGCTGCGGAACTCATTAAAAGATCAACTCCCACGATCCCCAAGCTTTCCAAAAGCCTGCCTCTGCACAGGAAAATCTGAGATCTGAGCCTTCACAGTGCATCTCTCAATGGCCTTTCTGGAGGGGGTACAGCTGAAATTAAGGGGTCAAGGTGGGAACAGGGCTTCTCTGGCTCCCCACCTCATGAGCCCTGCCTGCCATGTCCATGGCTGTTTAGAGACCCTAAACACTAAATGTGTCAGAGGAAGAGGGACTGCAGGGGAGCCGGTGCGGCTGGCCACTGGGAATCACCCTCCATTTAGGCCTGGAGTGGGTGGCACCTGGGCTGGGGGACACATGCATTCCAGCATGAGGGGAGCAGAGCCCACAGGAGGCCACTGCAGGCAGGGTGAGCCAGGCACACAAGTTCCACAACAGCATGAGATCACCGCCAGGCCTGGCCCAGGAGAAGGGAGGGCTGAGAGTGGCCAGGGGACACCCATGACTTGGCCACACAGCCACACGGACAAGGTGGGGTGGGGGCGGGGGTTGGGCATACTCTTCCCAGAAGGTGAGACTCTGCAATGAGCCCACTGGGATGCATGGGGACAGGCAGCCAGGAGCCAGGGTCCCTGGGCAGGGAAGAGACAGTGGAGCAGGGCACGCAGAGGCCATGGACCTGTCCTAAAGCCTGTGCATTGTATCAGGTTTTCTGCTCTACCACAGAAACCGTACAACAAAACTCCAGAGGCTATGGGTGCATGGAGACCTGGCTCCAGCTGCTGAGTCAGGCTGGGACAAAACCACCACGGCAGCTCAGAGTGGCCGGGGAAGGGGCCACACTGAGTGCAGACCCAGCTGGAGGGAACCCCATGCCTGGACATGGCACGGGCAGAGCTGGGGACACTGGGTCTCGCGTAGATGTGGCCTCTTAACAAACCCAAGGCCGCAGCAGCCCGAGGGCCCCCAAAGGCTTCTTTCACCTCAGCACATTGGCAGACCTGAGCCTGGGGTGCCACCAGGGCTGGGGGGGGGCGCTGCCTGTAGTCCCCACTTGTGCACCCTGCAAGTCAGGGGTGGAGACACAGCCGCAGTGGGAGGTTGTGTCTCCAACCCCATGCAGGGAGAGGCTCACGAGCTCTGTACACCACCGGGCTGTCCACCACCAGCCCTGCTGGGTCCTAAGATGTCTCAGCAAGTCAGGGACCACTGGCGCTGACCCATCTGTGCACTCCTCCAGGGACCTAAGCCCAGGACTCCTGTCTGGAGGTGGCAGTGGCCGAGCGGGTCATGGTCACACAGGAGCTGCACTCAGCTACAGAAGCTTAGCAGATTTGCTTCATGTCATTTGTCTGTCAACAGCAGGTTCCACCACCCCAGCTCACAGCTGGGGACAGAGGCGCGGAGGTGAAAGAGCTATTTCCAGCTTGGAAATGACCAACATCTGTCCAACCCTTGAGGCACGACACTGTTCCTGTGGCCCAGGACAAGGCACCTGCCCCTCCCAGCTGCTGCTGGACAACCAGGGAAGGAAAGGCCCCCAAATTCCCACTGCAGGACTCCAATGAGTAAATCTGGCCGGTGACAGGATACCTTCCCATAGGACAGAGGAAATTTTATTCCTACTGAGTAGGCTGCCAAATCACTGCACTGTCCCTCTGCATCCTGGGAATGCCACTGCAGTCATGCTCACCAGTGACACCAGGGCTTGTGTCCCCCTGAGCTTGGCCCATGCAGGGGCACCACGGAAGCCAGGGCTTTGGCTTCACCTCCTTCCTCCCATCTCTGCACTGTCCGAGGAGCTGAATTGGTCAGGAGTTGGTGACCAGAGGGACAGAGCGCAGAGATAACGCAGGAACATGGGCTTGCTTGTCACCAGGAATGGTGGCCAAAGTGACAGAGGCAGCACACACCCTTGTCTCCCCCTCCTGGGCCATGTCTTCTCCTTGGAAGCAACAAGGGTTTGTCTCTGACTCTGATGGGGGGAGATGGGACGGATGGAGGGACACAGAAACGAGTGCATGCTGGGAACTTTCGGATATGTGCAGTGCCTGGAGCTTGCAGAGAAGGAATGGCAGCTGATGGAGCATCACAGAAAGCTGACACACACGGTCCCAATGATGCTGCTGCAGGGGTTGGGGGCACATACCGGCGCACACACAGGACCCTCAAAGATCTGGTCTTGTCTAGAACGAGAAGTCCATCCTGAGCACCCAGCCACCGAATGACAGGTGTACACAGTGGCCGAAGGGCCAGAGATGGCAGGGTGCAGGACCACAGCCAGCCTCCTACCCCCTCTCCCTGGGCCAAGGGCCCCACGTGGAGCAGACAGCTGGTGGGAGGAGGAGGACGCGCTGCGATGCCATCAGCCACTCTGTTTACAGCCTCCTGCTCCCAGTGACAGTTTCCCGAGCAGATATCCACGCTTTTCCATGCAGACAACTCAGTACCTGCCTGCCAGGGCTGCTCTGTGGGGTCTTCCTCAGGTACTCCCAGGGTCAGCTGGGACAATCTGCCTGCCTGCGCCCCAGGGGGTCCACCTGCAGTCCCGGGACTCACCTCTGCTCTCTTCACTTTCCACCCACTTCCAGGCAGCTTCCCTGGAACCTTGAGCACCTCCTGGGGACCCACTCACCTTATCTTTGTATAAAGACAAGGGAGGCAGATCCTTCCAGAATTTCGCCTGGCTTTGCTCCAGCACTTCAGGGAAAATGTCTGTCTTGTATGTGTGCACATGCTTGCACACGTGTGTGTGTGTACCCTGGTATTCGTACATGCAATCGCTTATGGCTTTGCATGCATACACGAGTGTGTTTGTGTGTGCTCCTGCTGCGGCAGGAGCTGCACCGGGTAGGGCGCTTCCTTCCTTCAGGGAGAAGCAGGCAGCTCCACACCAAGCAGCTACAAGCAGGCGTCCAGTCCCGGAAGTCAGGGGACCTGGTCCCGTGCTGCACGGGCCCTTGACCCACAGCCCACTCTGTGCGGTAGGAGCTGGACACCTGTCCTTGAAGATGCCTCGGACTCCTACGAGGGGATACAGAGCTGGGCTGCATCCTGACCCCCCAGTGGCAACGTAGGGGTGGCTCGCAGGCTCCGCTGGGCTCAGACTAGAGACCGCTCCCTGGCGCCCAGTGCCGGGCCCTCCCGGGGCAGCAAAGTGAGCGGCTGCTCGCTACCGGCGGGGTTCCCGCAATGGCCTGGACGGGAAAGCTCGGGGAGCAATCTCCTCTCGATGGCTTTTTTGCTCCGCACTTCAGGGAGAGCCAAGAGAGACCCCAAGGCAGTGCGCCCATCGTCCCCGCCTGCCACTCGGAAGCAGAGGCAGGCACGCTCTGCGGCCAGAGCAGGAGCTTCGAAGGGGACCGCCCGGAACAAAGGGGTTCGTGGAGCCTCCTCGTGGGCGGCACCGTGGGCTCGCGGAGCTGCGCACGGATTGGGCCGACCCGGTTCCGGAGAGGAGGCGCAGCCCTCGGCATGGGAAGAGGCCCTGGGCCCGCACGGCGGGGAGGGAAGCAGTACCTTCTGGATGCGTCCATCGATGTCCAGGTAGATGGCCTTGGGCCGGTAGCTGGACGAGCCGGACCCCATCCTGCGCCGCAGCCGCCGCCGCGCTAGCTCGGACTTTTCACCTTACTTTCCGCTGAGCGGGCGGGGCGGACGGGGGGCGGGACAGGGGCGGGACGGGAGGCGGCCAATCGGTGCGGGCCTCTCCCCGCGGTCTCCTGCGCGGGCCACGCCCCTCCCCGCCCCCACTTCCCCTTCTCTTTCTCCCACCTCCTCTCTCCCACCCCCTCGCCCTCCTCTCCTGCCCCTTCTGCATGTTCCCTTCCTCTCCTCCTCTCCCTGTTTTCTTCTGCGGCCCCTCTGTCCACCTCCTGGGCCCATTCCTCAGCCCTAAGCTCTGTCCCTCTCTCTCCCCACCTCTTCCATCTCCTCTCCTGCTCCCTCTCCGCTTCCCACCCTCTTTCTCTTTCTCCAGAATTCCTCCCTTCTCCTCTCTTGTCTCGTCTCTCACGCCTTCCTCTTTACTTTCCTCCCCACTTTAAAGCACCCCCTCCTCCCTGCACCTCGACCACCCTTGCCCAGGTATCCTCTACAGAGACTCCTTTGGTTTGTGCTGGCCCCCCATGGCCGGTCAGTTAGTCATCAGCAGTAGGTGGGCGGAGCTGAGCCCACTGAGAGGTCTCCGTGCCCACTCTGCCAGGAAAGGCCGGCCACTGGATGGGAGCGGGACAGTCCTTCTTGTCTGGGCAAAGCACTGAACTACCCGAGCTGAAATATCGCTTGCATTTCTGCCCCTCGAGGCAGTGTGCCTTGGGGGGCGCTGCGCCTTGGCCTCTTTTCCATCATTGCAGCAGGAAGTGAGAGAAAGCAGCGAGACAGGAGGGGATTAGGGGCAGCCCCTGGGCCTTCAGGGAACGAAAGCCTGGGAAAGGCTGCCACACCCCCGGCTGCCATACTCCCACAGCAGGAGAATGTGTGAATGGCTCTCCAGCTGCCCCTGGCCACCTCTGAGCTGTACTCACTGTATGTGCCTGGTGCCCACAGGGTCTCCCAGTCCTGGCCAAGCCGAGAGCCAGGCTAACCAGCACCATCCCCTCATCTCCACCTGGTGGACATTCACCAAGTTACAGACCCTCAGGGACCATTGGGACACACCCTCCACCAGAGAAGGTCACACTGCCTTGGCCACCCAGGGGAAGGATCCAAATTCACAATTTGAAGCCCATTTGTACGAATGTGCATGGTTTTTGCACTGCAGCAAAGATAGAATTTATTAAATTGAGACACCCTTTAAGTCCAGGATGATAGAGTTATTTCCAAAAGATGAAAAATATTAACAAAAGATGAGAAATATAAAATAAAAAGCGGCCTTTATTCTGAGAACACGGAGAGAGATGACCGGCAACCCCACCGCTGGCGTCCGCGATCTCTCCGGCGGACACGCGGCGTGGGGGCCTGTAAATAACCTCGGTTTGGGGTGGAACCTAAGGCGGGCATTAGGGATACACAGGTAGCCCATTGGTCCTAGGTTTGGCGCCATATGTAAATTCCCAGGGGCGGGAAGATGGCGTCACAGGTAACTTCCTAGGGGCAGGGCAAGATGGGGCTTCCTGCTTCCAGTTGTGGCTTTCCTGGCTACAGTGTCCTGTCTGGGCCAAACCTTTCACAGGACCACCCAATGTAAGTTCGGAGGTGTCCACTTACTTGGTCATGGAGCAGGGAGGTCCCTTGATCTGGCTGCCAACTACTTTTTCTTCTCTTTGCTAGGACATTCTCTGCTAACGGCCATCCCCCTGCATCCTGGGTGGCCCTTGTATGACTTTCTGTAATGTCATCGGCTCCAGGCATACTCCCCCCACCTGCTCCTTTCTGGACCTGGGAATGCACCCCAAGGAAGGAGACCCTTCTGTTCCGAGGTAAGCTGGGTACCCTGTGTCATCCTTGGGCATGGTGACGGAATTCACATAGTCACAGGGAAGTCACAGGGACCAATATTTCCAGCTGTGTGGACCTCAAGCCTGAACTGGCTGGTCTTACATTGAGGAGTGTGGCCAAGAGTCCCCAAGGCCAGGGCAGGGCGGCTTCTGTCCTGGCTGCTGCAAAGACCACAGTCCCTTGTGGTTAGTTTTTTGTTTTGTTTTTTTGTGGTGTAGAGAATGGAAGCCAGGTGTTCCCACATCTGGGAACGCTCCATACCCTCCAGCTGCTCCTGGCCTTCGTGCACAAGTGATGAATTTGAACCCAGAGTTAAGAGCAAGGGCATGTCCCGGCTCTCATAGTCTGCTGTGTGCATCCTGGCAGGGTGTGAGCCATGCTTGATTTGCAGGCTCTGGGCCAGTTTCTTTTTCTGGCTTCAGTAATTGGGGAGTTATTACCAGTTGTAAATATTTCAAACAATGTAGCAGAAAAGGCAAAGTCCCATGCAGGTTAGAGGGCGGCCCCGCCCCTCCTGTGGCTCTGGGTCACTCATACTGTGTCCCCTGTGCTGACCACTTGGAGCTGGAGTCCCCCGTACAGCATTATGAACAGTCACACGCTCATCCTGTGTCATTCTTTAGAATTGGTCTTGGAATAAAGATTGATAGGTAAAGTGCTCTTCTTACACTTCTGAGTGTGGGTGAAACACATTTAAGTTTTTGAATGGCTGAATCTCCCTCCAAAACAGGTGTTTGTGGTTGATACACTGTCAACAGAGAAGTGGAGAAGTTTAAGTAAGAGACTCAGCAGGGAGCCAGGGTTGTTACTTTGTAAACATCCTCATCCTGTGCAAGAGGAGGGCAGGGAGAGTTTGTGAGTGCTACACCTGCCCTGGAGTCATGGGTTAGTCATATACAATACAAGGTGGGAAAGAGGCTTGCTCTCCCACTTTTGCTCTGGCTGCTTTTGCTGGCTGCTGCCTTGAAGTGTTGTCCCCTGTGCCATGGAGCCAGCTGATCATGGACTGAAACCTCCACAAATGGTGAGCTAAATAAACCTTTCCTTCCTTCATTTTGGGCGTCTGTATTTTGTCCCAGCAACGAGAGAAAGTAACCAAGACAACAGGTAAGCCAATTTATTATCCCCCATAATCATAAACACCAGCCCCTTTTCATCCAGTGTCATGAAAGAGAAACATTAATTCTGCTTATTTTCCCAACCTTATAAGGACAGAAAACCTCGTTTTGATTTAAATGTGTGCATTAGCAAGTGGGATGCAAAATACCTCCTGCTTGTTGGCCATTTGGGTTTCCATAGTGAATTCATCTACTTTGCCCTTTATTCTACTCACAGATCTTTTTACTCTTGACATTTGTTACCTCTTTGTAGGAAAAGGACAGTAGCCTTTGATGGTAATCCATTTTGTAAATATTCTCTCCAGGCTCACAGCTTTATTTATGACAGCTTTACTAGAGGCTTGGGCATACAGTAAGTGATCAAAACTGTTCCACTTTTCCTGCAGGAGTTCTAGATTTCTTGTCAGTTCAGAAAGGAGATATTATTTATAATAGGAAATTAAAAAAGAAAGATGTGACCTAAATTTTCAAAGATGGGGCCTGACACATTTGTTGGAGGGGACACAAAGGGCGACAGTCAAGGCGAGTGCATGGGGCTGGGGAGCCGCCTGCTGAGTGACGGGGCAGGGCCGCAGTTCACTCTTCTGCCTGCTGTCCCTTCTTGCTCTGCCCGGTCGGTCGTTGGATCATGACCTGTGTCAGGTGCTGGTGACCAATCTGCTGTGGTTAGGGCTGGCCACTCCCCAGAGTGCACACCCCAAGGTCCAGAGCTGTGAGGTCCCCGGACAGGAGTGGTAACTCAGACAGCGAACGGCACCAGGAGTTCACTGGGGTGAGATTCTGTGTTTGAGTTTTCAAAAATGTGTCTAGGGCCAGGGAGTTATTTTGCTGTAAAATCAAGGAAAGGGGAAGTGTGTGGTGCACAGCAGCCTGGGCTGAATAACTCAGTGGCACTGTCTTGGGGGGTGGGGGGTGGGAATGAGGATTGGGTGATCTGGGCTGAGAGGAGCACCCAGTCCTCCATCAGAGCCCATCAAGGTACCGCCGGCGCAGGCCGTGGTCTGCCCCCCCTGCTTCTCCGAGTCCTGTAAGGATTTCTCAGTGCCCTGGTGACTCACTTTCCCCCTACATAGGGCTGCATACCTGGGCCTTCCATCACCTTCTGGGGCAGTGTGCCTGGGCCTCCCATACCTGCCCCTCCCCCTCATAGCACACCTGGGCCTCCCACACCTGCCCCTCCCCCACACAGCACACCTGGGCCTCCCACACCTGCCCCTCCCCCACACAGCACACCTGGGCCTCCCACACCTGCCCCTCCCCCACACAGCACACCTGGGCCTCCCACACCTGCCCCTCCCTCCAGCACACCTGGGCCTCCCACACCTGCCTCTCCCACTGTTCTCCCACCCCACAGCACAGCTGGGCCTCCCACAGCTGTCCCCCACCCATTATACCTGGGCTTCCCACATCTGCCCCCCCCCAGGGTAGCACACCTGGCCTCTACTGCCTGGTTGTCACCTCTGCCCCCCCACCACCAGGACCCCAGAAACCCAGCCATCATTTAATTCCACAGAAAGTCCTCCTCTTTCTCCTCCCCTTGATACCTTTCTCTAAGACCCTAAGTCCCTGGGTCCCCAGGGAGGAGCTAATCCCCCCCCCCCAGGCCTGCTCCCTTGTGGCCCTTGGATACTTATGCCTCTTCCCAGTCAGATTCCCCATCCTCCCTGGGGCAATCACAGCCAGCCCTGAGCATTCCAATGAGTGGGGACAGGGACACAGCAGGCAGCCAGGGGACAACAAAAGGCAGCTGAGTGTCCCCAGGGGAGAAGCAGCCCAGCCTCTCCCATTGGGTCTTCTGATCCACAGTGAGGCCTGAGGGCTGAGGGGCTCCTGCACCACAGGGACAGTCAGGCCGTGTCCCACCAGAGAGTGGCCCCCTGGGACTCGGGAGCCTGCACTTCCACACCCAGCCGGGTGGGCGCAGGGTGGACCCATGAATCAGTGAGGAGCCATGCTGAAAGCAGCCGTGCACCCTCGGGAGGGCGTCTCCTGCAGCCCTGGCTGCTCCCCCTGTGCATCCTGCAGTGACCAGGATTCCTGTACGTCCACCTCCCCGCAGCTGGGCCCAAGGCATTGGACCCTGGGGCCATCACACCATCAGGGGGACACTGGGC